CCCAAAAAATAACATGTCTGTTAGTGCTGTCATTTTTAGGCATCAATGCTCAAATGACATCAAAATCGGAACCTCCGATTTCGGGCCTTCGATTTGAAGACTTTTTTGGATTTTTCTCTTTTGAAACTTTGTCATTCTGAGCAGATACCAAAATTATGTCCTTTTTTAATCGAGTGCTCTGAGACTATTGGGTGAGAAACAATTTTTATCTTATTTTTCTCGGAAATCGTCAGAAAATGTGTGGCCTACCTTTCTCGTTATCTCCTACCTTGACAGATTTTCTTCGAAAGAGTTTCCATTTCCTAAACCACCCGAGCCATTTCCAGCCGTTCGATTACAAGCCGCAAGAGCAAGGCGAAAGAGTTTTACTGACTCGAAAAATCAAATTTTTGAGGAGCTGGAGCTCAAGAAGTGTCTAGCGCTGGCTAGACTTATGTTAGATCCTGACTGATTCTGATTGATTGGAGTTGCAGTAAGTTGGAGTTGACTGCAACTGATTGGAGTTGCAGTAAATTGATAAGTTATTGGCGTTTACATCAGAAATTCAAAGCTGGAACTTACAAATTTCGATTGCTTTGCGACCAACCCATTTTCGAATTTAGGGCTCCCAGTGAAAAGCCGTGCCGAAGAAGGATTTTCGGGTCTTTTCACTCTACCTAAGTTTGCAATTACTTTCTATTCTCAAAGCAAGATAAAACGTGTTGAGATTATGAAATATTTCCAGTGAGTTTTGACCCCCTATGGGGACGATTTTGAAAATGACATGTGCAAATAGTACTCTAAAGAGCGACCTCAGTCTGACTCTTGATACTTGTGAGCGGCCTCGAGACGTTGACTTTTCCGGAGAGTCTGCATCAAACTAGACTACTTTGCCAGATTGTTTATCTATGACTGCTTATGCTTATTATAATTATATTTATGTTGAATTTGCAGGTTCCCCAAATCATAGGGGAATTAGAACGAACAACGGAGACTGCATGCCTGTGGAATAAGTTATGAGTGCCAAGGTTACTGATACTGTTCCTACAGCTGACAGCGCTTGGTCATCTGATCAAGACTCCTCTTCGAAGAATATACGATGGTCCAGTGAGTCCTTTCGATGCTGTTCAATTCACTGCTTTACATACTGAAAACTGGCGCTGTTCGACGACGGGGGGGGGGCTTTGCACTCACTAGTTCCGGTTTACAAGGCTCACTCTGGTGAAACCTGTGAAATTCTTGTAACTTTAGCAAGCTCGCCCAGCCACCAAGACCTGTCAACTCTCGCAAGGCTCTCCTGATGGCTCGACACATCGATGGGAAGTGGCAAAAGTGCAAAATGCCCCCCCCGTCTTCCAACTGCGCCTTGAAAACTAACAAAAATCGGATACTTGTTGGATATAAAGATTATTTTGGGCTTATTCGGGGTCTGCATTAATTATCCGCTTCGTTGGCTTGTCTTAATGTGAAGTCCTACCTCTGAGAACATTTGTCGATCAGCCAATTTGGATTAGTGGGTCACGTGTGGAATAACCGAGTTCCTGATGGAGCGTTACTAGTTATATGTATGTACCTTTGAGAACCGTGGTGATCCCAGGTTTTCATCGAGAGGAAGGAAATATTCCTCCGAACCATTTACCTTTTAAGCACCTTACCCCCACGGAATCATAAATTTCCTCTTTTCGAAGTGGTTTTGAACATTATACTGTATTACGGCCGGATTAGGTAAAAGAAGTCGTCCGTTGCAGAACCCTGAGGCATAAAGGAGAATCTCCATTATAAAGCCCTTCATGATAGCTGTGAAAGAGGTGAACCTCACTTCTTGCAAGCTTCCCCAACATTATGACGCGGAAGTGTCTGATCCCGAAAGAAAGGCACTCGACGGCGTGCCGCACCATATCCGTCTGGGGCGCTCTTGCATAGATGGGCTATTTTCTCGTCCAACAATTGTGGATAAACCATGTAACTCGTACTTGTTTTCAGCTCTCTCAACAAAAGCTAAAGTATACTACTATTTTTTGAGTAGTATACGATGTATCGGTATTTGTATTATACTATTTCTGTATATCTGTTCACTTAGCAACTTATCGAACGCATTCAGCTTGCTAGGAAGCCGAGGATTAGGTAAGGTTTTCACAGTGTTTCTACAAGTTCGGAAAAGATTCATAGAAGAAGAGTAGAATTCACAGAAGCGATTCAGATTCTGAGGTAGCTTTCAGAACCATTAAGGACCAGATCATGTCGTACCTTGGTGATCCCTATTAATGGGGTCGTATTTGGTCACTGGAGACTGGGGGAAAAGAAGGGTAGTTGCCTTTGAGAGAAATGATCCAATATTTTTAATTGTTGTCCCCTCCCCCACCGCACTTGCTCGCTCGACGGCTGTTTTAGGGGGGAAATTGGTGGAAATTTCTGAAAAGGAAACCGGAAAAGTGGTAGGAAGTTGGGAAAATTTAGGAACATGGTAGACAGGGCGGAGGATGGGAAAGAGAGGGGAGACGTATAAGGGAAGAAAACTTCGGTGTGAATGTCTTATTTTACAAAAATCTTTCCCAACGGACTGTTCGAGACTTACTCCATGATAATCTTTCTAGTAGCAGTCCAGCCTACCATCCCATGGCTTGCCCGTTTTTGGCACTCATCAGTGGATGACTAGGGCGCGATGGTTGTGATAAGTTAAAGGGTCACCCGTGGAAGTTGTTCCACCTAGCTGGGGTAAGGTTCGCTAGCCTACATCTATGAAAGCGGGTGTAGCATGTTGCATTCATTCGGTGTAAAGGCGTCATTGTCTCTCTCGTTTCCCAGCTTGGCTTCATGATTTATAATCTTTTGTCTCTAGTCTCCCTCCGCCGTAATAGTGCCTCGCTCCTTAGGATACATGTCCAATCCTCGCCTTATTTGGGGCGCCCTCAACAATTTTCTTCACCGTTTTTTTTCATTGCTGAGTCAGTCACTCGAACTCACATTTGAACCCCAAAACCTACGAGATGTGGTTACTGGAAGTTTTTGATGAAAGTTGAACTTATTTTATATGAACACGATTTGCATTTTGTTAGTTACTGACCACCACCCTCCACTAATCCTAAGTGTACCAGTATTTGACTGCTCAAAAAATGGTTACCTAGGAAACAACAAAATTGTGTCATTATTGGGTTTCCCTGGTGTGCAATAATCCCCCAAGCAACTGGGATACGATTTTTTTTATGCACACTGCTCGTCATGTCTTCAGGTAAAGAAGCGAAGTGATAAAATGCTAAACAGTGGCGCACTGAGCGTTTCTTGTACCTAATCTAAGGATGCGTCCCGCCTTCGTTTTTCATCCGAAATCGTGGGGACATTTGAATGGATTTATCCAGTGGAAAGAACCGCGGGGCCCAACAAATAGCGTCCTGCATATATTAACTAGCACAGGTCCTCCCGATTGACCATTCAACTATTTGAAGGCCATATAGTTAATAGCACAGGTCCTCCCGATTGGTCCATTGTAGTGCCACATGAGGAGGAATGCAGGCTAGCCAGGTTTCGAGGTGTAGAATTCAGACTCCAGGTGCAAGTTGTAAATATTAGGTTGTTCGGAAAGGAATGCGCGTTTGAGTGTAAAAAAATTTTTATTATAAAAACGAAATTAAACAAGGTCAATCTAAAAGATAATCTCCATTACTAGCAATGACTTGTTGCCAACTGTACGCAAAAACTTCGCCAAAAGAGCCTCTTTCACTACTTTTCCCCTCGGGTGTGTCGTTAGGTCCGCCGGAGAGGAAATGTAGGTCAAAAGAGCCTCTTTTTGCCAGTTTTCTCGCCGAGTGTGTCGCTAGGTCCGCCCGCTGCCCCTGTGAGCCGAGTGGGTCATTAGGTCCACCCAAGTGCGTCGTTAGGACTTGCTTGAAGTCTTACCACATACAAGCTCGCATTCGAAATTTTTGGTCGAGCATTTTCTAAACTTTTTTCTAAAAAAACAAGGTAGACATAGAAAAAATATATCAAAAGATGCGCAATAAAAACCTCTCTCTAATGGACAAAACTGTTTTGAAAAATCTCCTATAGTAGAAGAGAAATAAATAGACAAAGTCAACGCGCATTCCTTTCCGAACAACCTAATACTTACATTCTCGCTGGGGCATATCAAAGGCCTGGATTTGGCGCGGCACCCACCCAGTCTCCGCCAATTGCGGAAGACCTCTATAAACCCGATTAGGGCCTGAATACTCCCGGCAAACTTCGCATGGCAAGTCCAAGCGCCACAAATGAAAGGACAAACCTTTCTCTATTCTCGCATTCACATCGGACATGGTCCTTATTTGGTCTGCCTCATGAAATAGTATCCGTCATGAAAAAACAGTAATTGGCCAATTACGCAGGAAAGCGATGAATCAACAACTGGCCCGCATTGACCAGCTCACTGTGAGACAAAGCCGATTAATCGGTAATCCCTGAGCCCTTTTTCACCTTTGAAAAGGTCACACAATGACCAACAAAAGTACATTTTTTATGTCCATTAAAAAATGATCTAGGTCTTTAGCGATGAAAAGACCCATCTCTTGCAAATTTGCGGCCGGGTTAATGTTTTTGCAAATGGTTTCATGGTACTTGCACAAAGAGTTTTATTGCGCCCAGTGCAGAGATCTGTCCCATTTAGGTGATAATTGTAGTGCGTGATTACAATTTAAATGAGTATATCAAAGTAGCTTATCAGCATATGGATGAAAATGAATGTATGATTCGAAAGCACATTGGCTGGATACGCTTACAGTAATCTTACTTGTTCAGGAAAAGCTATAAAGGTATCGCCCTTAATCAATGATCCAGTATCGGCAGTGATTGTGGGTATGATTGCTACAGTCGTTCTTCAGAGCGCCACTACAACTACAAACGTATTGGTTGGAATGATAGCGGCTGATAGTTGGTTTTCCATAATATTTTGTTATAGTTACTACTGTACAACTACTTAAAAAGCGATAGTGTCGGTCCTCAACAGTAATCCACACATTGTAGTGTTAACTGTGCACGATGCTATTCCTGTGATGATGGGCTCGGAGTTAGGTGGTACATTGGTGAATGCAATTGTCTCTCTCGCCTACTCCGGAAAACCGGAAGAGTAAGTTGATAAAGTTGCTTTCAGCCATTACAAAGTAACGAGTAATACGCTCGGAAAGCATCAAAGTTGGCAACAATACCGAGCGTTTGCGTAAAGAAATGCCAGGGGGAGGGAGCTGTTTGACAGTAATGTGAGCGCACTTTTAGACCACCCAGAAATAATTCATCTCACTTGTTACTTTCCAACAAGTCCTAATGGCTACTGCCTACGACTGTAAAGCTGAAATTTCATTGAGTAAACCTTGTAGTGCAGAAATAGGCTGCATATCCCTGGTCGCGGTGGCTGCACACTCCATTCAAGTACACTTTAGAATGATTAGTTTGTGAGATATTTCGATTTGTGGTGACTGTTATCTTGCCTTTTAATGGACAAATACGTATTTCAAATGCGTCATAACAAAAAAAACCCAATAATAATCGATCCTGTGAGATTCAAATGAAGTACGCAGCCACGCCCACCCCATCTCAGCGGTGAGCTATATAAGACATCCAGGTTCCGCCGTGCGTTTGCTGCCGCTACACTTGGAGACGTATTCAATGTTTGCTGCATCTTCGTAATACTTCCTTTGGAACTCGCCACAGGTTTGCACTGGAAATAAAGCAATAAAACAAGTATAATGCACAGAAAACAGATTTAATACTTGAAGTTTTAGGTTTCATCGAAAAGCTGAGCTGGTTGATTGTAGATCCATTGATCGCTGAACAAGGTATTTCTATAAAAACGTTGGACTTGTTAACCGATCCAGTCAACCGAATGATATTGGAGGTTCGTTGCGATCAATACTAATGTCTGGCCTTTACTGAGCTTTTTTCTAGCCGCTTTTGAACTTTTTTCTAGCCGCAATAAGGTTTTTTCTTTAGCTTTCTTTAGCTGTTGCCCCTCAAGATTTTCACCATTTCACGTATTTACCGTCCTTAACAGCAGTACTTTGGGGAAATGATAAAAATCCGGGGGATGTAGTAGGAACTTGGAGAAATCACCAGGATGCTAGACGGAATAGGGACCAGACATAATATTCCCTTGAAGTGGGTTATCTAGAATAGCTTTCAGGGCATCCTAGTGGGAACTGCTCCTTCTGTAAACTTTCGTTCAGGTAAATGAACCGGAATTACGAAATGCAACTATCGATGACGACTACTTTCCACCTGATCACTCATTTGTTTATCGATGCGTATTCAAAAATGGTTCGCGAATTTACAAGTGTAAGTGAATCCAGGACAATTACTCGAGATATTGAGGAACTCTAAGCTAGTTGTGTGGGCGGAGCTGGACCCAAGGTAGTACCGCCTTCACTGACGCAGCGACCCTCTCCTCCACCGTCTTAAAAAGAATACACTCACCCTACGAGAAAGGCACAAATGCAGACTGTTTCTGCCCATATGAGAAGCGTTACGGCCAGCGTCTTTGGTGGAAGGACTGAGTGGAGTGTGATACAACGTCCTATCGCAGCCCTTCCATCAATTACGATGGCGGCAACCGTACGCCCCCAGCAGTCGTGCCCACTGCTTTGAGTGGCTAGACAAATTTGCCTTGTCCCAAGACCTTATTATTTGTTACGTCAATTAATTCCCAAATTTCGTGAGTATCATGTGTGTACTTTACCACCGCTCGTAGTAGTACTGTATTACAGGGCTATTTCCCCTATTATAGCAATTATCGGTATCGATGTGCCGTGCATTAATTGGGGGCGATCAAGGGGAAACATTGATCAAACCGAGTTTTGCCAACCATGACACCAGTAAAAACTTGTCAAAATAATAGCTATTTGCTAGATTCTGTGGATAATCGATTTTTACTGGGAAGTAAAGTGCGGCACTTCCAAACTCTAGTGGTTGGGACCTA